GCAATTAATTATCTGCAATATCTCTGTCTTAAACCACATAGAAGGCCTATTCTATCGTCACAAGAAAGACTGGATAATGCTAGTTGTTTGGATGATGTGTTTTGTTTGCCATTTGGAAAAGATGAAAATCTCTCTCTATTCCATGCATTAGGCAAATTTCTACACAACAAAAGAGAAAGTGAGCACACAATTGCATCAGGTACATCTGACTAAACTTCATTCTCAGGATACAGTGAGTTGCAAGTGCTTACAGAACTTAGTAACTGTGTGCTTCCACACCTTTTCTCTAGCGACAAATTACTCCATCTTTGCAGGTAATGCTTCCTCATGGGGAATGCATATTTTAGCATGTGCTTGAGTGGTCTAATCATGCAATCCTGGTTTGTTATTTATGATTCACAATATGCAATACTGTATCTTCGAAGAGTTTTTCAATTGCTTAATGTGGTTTCAGCGCTTGTAGACACTGCTCAAATAAAGTTGTTAAGCAGATTCCCTGAGATGTAATAATGAAACATTGTTTAAGAATGACTGATATGAGCATTGGTGATTATCCAATGAGTAGTCTCCCAAGTGATTGTAATTGGAAGAATAGAAGATTAACGTTTTCACCTTGTGTAAATTACTGCCATAGGTATGAACTTACATGTTATATGTGAGGTTTTTTCTATTACAAAGCTACAACTCTTTTTTGACCATGTTATCTTATGCCCTTTTGGAGTAAGATATAAGAGTTCTCTGCCATGTGAATTGAAAGTGAATAATTGAGAGAACTGAACTGTCTTTGGCAAAGCCTCTGATACAGACTCCTTTTTTTTGTAGATAGAGACGCATTCCTTCTGAAGGAAAAATTTGTCAGGTTTCCTCTTAAAATGGATGCTCCAGAAGTTATTCTTTGTCAAGCACATGGACAAGCAACGACTCTTTCTGATTTTCTGCATGAAAATGGTAATTTTTTTTCTTAAGGTGGATGGGCTTTCCAATAATCTGGTCTGCTCTTTGATTTTTTTGGAATGAATTTCAATGGTGGCAATGCTGGACTCAGGGTTACTTTTTTTTTTTTAATTCAAGCACCAAAATCTGCCATTCTGTGACATAATGCTATTTCTGGATCATATTCGACCTGCTTTGTTTGTGGGCTATATCTAACAACATTAGATTCACCACAAGTCCCAATAGCTTGAACTTCTGCGTTAGTGGTGAATTTCACCGGCAAACTAAATGTTGACAGAGCTTGTGTTTTTTATCTTCTTTCCGGTTTCTTAGATTAGAGGAGAAATACTATTTCTATTGTTTAACTTGCATTTACTACCTAATGGATTGTGCATGAAATGGGGGGTAATTAAGACTTATGGCCATCATATCTGCACATAGAAATGTAGAGTATGTTATTGTCTAACATATATAGAGTATGTTATTGTCTAATATATAAGTGGTTTGTGTTTGTCTAATTCAACTACTGATTTTCAACTTTGTTGCAGTTTTAGACTTTTTGAGTGAAGACGCAATAGATGATGCCTGGCTTGTGGCATCATATTTAAGTGATGCGGATTTTCTTCTGTCTTCACTTAGTGGACATCTATCTAGAGACTTTGGAGCTGAGAACATCATACAGTCAGCTGCTGCCTCAGTTGCTGCTAGAGGAGTATTATTTGGGAATGCTCATCCAGTGCCTTCCAGGTATAAAGACATTACGTGGTTCGTTATGTTTTGCTTATATAAAGTACCTAAAAATAATTTATTGCAAATTCCCGTGAGAAATCAGGTGGCATGCTATTCGACGTCCCAAACTGTGGGAGGTTGAACAATCATCACGTCGCAATAAGGTAAGATTCTTCCTGTCGCGTTCTCTGCTCCTTTCTCTTGATCTTGCTCACATAGCTTCTTATAACATGGATTTATCTGGATCAAGTCCTGAACATAATGTTTCTCACTAATGTAGTTGCTTAGGAAGCACTAGTGCACTACAACATTATTTTTTGTAATGTTTGGTTGCTATTTTGTTTTCCTTGTAACTAATACATACTTACGCATGTGGGAATCTATATAATATTTTATGTTAGATATAATGTAGAATAAGAATGTGGGTATTAGTAATACATGGATTAAGAACATTAAATGACAAAATTAATCCTCATAATAGTAAAACAGCCTCTTCTTTTTGTTTAAAAATGTAAACATGTATTTTAAGCAATGCATTGTAATTGTATCAAACTAAACATCCAACATGACAATAATCCCTACATTACTAAACTGCATTATTTGTCTTTAAACCAAACGACCTCATGTTGTCCACTGATTTTGGATTTTGATCACATCCTAACTAAGTTGATGTGCTTGCAGCGTCAAATGTTTAATCAGAGGGATGACTTGCCTTATAGCCTAACCACATATAGTCAGATAGTTATGGCAACCGAGTTTAGGCCTTCCCTTAAATGGCTTGGATGCAGAGCGTCTGAAAGTTTCCAAGCAGACGACATGGTTGAAGAAGACTCGGATAGCACCTGTTTGCATGAGGATAAGCTGGATTTGTCAGACGATGAGATAGAAGATTGGTAGTTTGAAGCAGTGTATGAATGTGTATCAATATATGGTCCATGCGGGTTCTTTTTCACCTGTAAATTATGTACATGGCTGAAATTATGTAAAATTTTTAGAGGAAACATACAACTAGTTTATACTAATTGAAGTAATATTTTGATCAGTGCAGGAATTTGTGACGAAAGACCTTTGTTTTATAGTTTAAGGAATATTCAACAAACTGTTGCTAGATAGTACCTATGACTTTCAATAAAGTGAAGATGATCCACTAAGGAACTGGAAAACTATGTTACTACTTTAATAGGAGGAGATATGGACACAAGTACTGTTTTGTCACTATTCCAGATGGCATTGAAGAATTGGATCTGAAATTTGTTTTGATAAATCTCAAGTCATATTCCATGAATGGAAAAAAGTTGATCTCACCGATAGGATATTTGTTAGTTTTATCTTCTAGTTATTTAATCAATATTGTACTTCAACCATTCTCCAGTGTAAATTTTCAAATAACCTCACGAACTGGGAAACAAGCAAAAATGATAAATCTCACAAATTTGTTTTGTTTCGTGAACTTATGTAGTCGCCACAAGTTCAGAATACTTTCACTCCACACTTTCTTGTAGTTAAACAAATATAAGTTATTTATTTATTATTCATTGTGAGAAGGTAAATTTAACTTGATAATAAATGAAACCAATCACTTCTTCAAACCACCTCTCTACTTCACCTCACAAGGGATTAAGCCAACATACAATCCTGCCTACAATGACGTATAATAGTGATGCAAATGGGCGGATTGGGTCAAATTTGGGCGAGTTAAAAATGGGTTAACATAAAATGGGTAATAATTCAACCCGCCCATATTTAATATGGGTAAAAATGGATTGAGTAACAAATGGGTTGGGTAAAATACTAGTTTACTCATCTTTTCATGAGTAAATAATACTCTACTTAAGAATTCAACATGGAGGTTAAATATTTTAGTCTTTCTTTTATTGTATCATAAGGGGTCGTTTGGTTTGAATATGAGTTATGATGGGATAAGTTATGTTGGGATAAGTTATGTTGGGATTAGTTATGATGGGATAAGTTGTCCTGGGATTATTTCTTATTGAGTGTTTGGTTTGTTATATTCAAAATAATATATATTGATAAATTTTAAGAACAAGTTGTTTGTTTACAAAATTACCCTTCACTTTATTTAAACTTTTTAAATTTTTCTTTGTGAGCTTTAGTTATTCATTTTTTAAAATAAAACTTTTATTTTTTTTAACTTAAATATTTTTGTTTATGTATTCCCATGATAAGTACCATGTGTATTTAAAAATATAACTTTTTTCTTATTTAGCTTAAAAATAGAACTTTCCTCTTAAGTTTATTAAAGAGAAGAAAATTTATGAGAAATCAAAATAAAATAAACATAAGAATTAGTCAAATAAATTCATAAATAAAAATTATATTTATATAGTATAATTTTTTAATAGGAAAATATGTATAATTATCATAAAAATAAGGAGTAGTAAATATTATTATACATGGTATTAAAAAAAATGTAAATATACATAAATGTAAAAAATGATATATAAAAAGGATTTAAAGGGACATATTTGTCATTTACCTATTCTATCTCGGGATAAGTTATCCCGGGATTACTATACCACCCATGGGGAGGGATAACTTATCCCGGTACTAATTATTAATCCCGGGATAAGTTATCCCGGACTTGCCAACCAAACAACATAATTTTTTTTTTATCCCATCACTATTTCCTTATCCCATCACTATTATTTCTAATCCCTCACACCAAACGAGCCCTAAAAGTCAAAAAAAAAAAATCCTATAACTTTTCAATATAAAATAAATTTATGTGAGAACAAGGGAAAAATATTTTTAATTTCAAAGTAAATGAATATTTACACTTTAGGACTAAAACATGCTTAATGCACTTTAAGCAATGTCAATACTTACATTTTAGGACTAAAACATACTTAATACATGATTTGCTTATTTTACACTATTACTACTATTTATTATCCAATATAAAATTAAACAAATAAAAAATAATAATTATAATTAACAAAAAAAAATGTAAATTTAAAATATATATTTTTGGAGGGCCAAAGACTCCACCTTTTCAATTATAGAGAAAAATAATTAATTCTATAGAAGAACATAAAAAGGAAGAGAAGTTACAATATTTTTAGTGATATCATGAATTTTGAGGGAATAAAAGTTAGAAGCTTAACCCATTTGACTGATCCATATTTTTATGAGTTGAATATGGGTATCAACCCATATTTTACCCATGTAAAAAATTACTCACCCAACCCATTAAAATTGGGTTCATTTTGCCGGCACTAACGTATAGTAATCCCAGGCCTCACACTGGTTTAGGACTTGAAAGTAACAAGAGAAACCAATGAGTACACGATTGAAAACAACATACAAATGCAACTTTGGCAAAACTATTTTTTCCCAGCATTTGATCCAAAAGGACAAATGGAAAAACACTAGCAACTGTTTCCGAGCAAAGCTAAAGCATACTTCAAAATCCTAACATCATCTAACGCCAAAAGCTAGCAATCTATATCACCTACCTCCATCAGCCAGCCATACTTACACTGTCGATAATTGCTTAAGCCGTAATCATCTCTTTCGCTCACTTTCAAGAAAATCTGCATTTCTAAGTTCCCCAATAAATTATAGCACATACTGGGAAACCAGTAGGGGGAATTCAAGAACACGTATATACATTTTTCCTGCTGGCTGCCTGGACCACAATGAAGCGCACACTCTGTATCTCAAGGCAAAATCCTCTTCATTTCATGCACCTGATCAGTATTTTTAGCTTGATTATATACCGACTCAAATGCATGTGTCCATACATTGGCAAAACCCGTCACAGCCTGAAAAACATGTGGCAAACCCATCTGTAGATTGTTCAATGTCATTGCCCTTGTTACACTCACAGCTTTGTCATACTTGGCCTTCTCATCCTCAGCTTTTGCTCTGATAGCATCCACCTTAGCTCGTTTCTCGGTCACAGGGTTCTTGCTCCTTGTACTACTGCTAGAGGAATCGGGTATAGAATACGGGCCATACTTGGACTCTAGTGACCGAAGCTCAGAAGATTTCTTGTCGAGCTCTTTAAATGCCATCTCTGATTTCTTCTTTTGCTTGATCTCTTCTGATTGCTGCACCACAATGGCATGGATAACAGTTAGTAAACTGTTGATTCCTTCCGATGCTACTTTGTCTGGAGCATTGTTGACTGCAAGATGCCACTCTTCACAAAGGGAGTAAACTGCATTGTCCTGGCTGGTCTTAGGTACGGGGTTGTTGCCAAGCTGGAATAGGCTAAGACGGAGCCAGCCAGTAAGGGACTGAATATAATCCCGGTGAGATTTCACTAGGTTGCAAAAAGATAGGTGCCACTGTTCCAGTTCAAGCTCAAGTTGTAATGTTGATTGTCGATGAAGCTCAGAGGTAGGATAAGTTGATGGCACAGTATTGAGATACTTCAACTGCTGCACTATATGCGTTTGAACATGATGGCATTCATACATGCTTCTCCACATGTACATCAACCTGTAAACCATAAACAATAAGGAGACAAAAGATGGAAGGAAAAGTTCAAATGATTCTTGCAATATTATCCTTTTTGCTGAAACTCGAAAAATTGTTTCCCTTACTCACAAGGTGCTAGTTTGTACATTAATTACTGGTGAAAGTTAAAAGATTGTCCCATGAGATATAAAGGAGCAACATTGAATTTCATTAACTTCATCCTTAATTGCCAGTATTCATTTTGCAACTGAGTATAGTGGGCCTTTGTTTCTAGCTATCTACCGTCTTTAACTTCAATTTGACCCCACCAAAAGAAAAGTGGGTAACCTTAATTTCAGTCAACAATTGACCACATTGAATAATTTCAGTCTCACTCTTAAATAGAAGTTGGCCTTTTCACAATTTTTAACAGAAGAGCAGACTGTTGTATGCTGCTTTCGTATATTTTTAGGTAGCAAAAAGGGACATGAACCGAATCTGTTAAAGGAGTCAAAAGTTTCCCATTCTGTACGGAGAGCCATTCGTTGCTTTTTAGTACATATTGCTATAGCTGACTTTGACCCCTCAAAATTGTAAACATTCTGGACAGCAAAAACAATATCAAATTGATTTTTTTTAATTTTACTAAGAGATAAACATAAAGAGGGTGAATAGAACAAACCCTTTGACCAGATCAACAAGTTGTGGATAGAGCTCTGACTCCCTTAATTTGATGATTTCAGCTGATGTAGTTTCAATAGCTTGTGCAGCAACCATCATTTGTGATTCCAACTTTTCTACTTCTTTCTTGGCTTTCTCTGTTTTCACATAATCAGCCCTCTTCATCTCTAGTTTCCTAGCATGACCTCCCCTTTTCTCATGCTCCAACTTTAATGCCTCAGCATGCTATAAATCATAATCAAATAATTCATAAGAAAAAATAGGACAACAATATAATATATAAAAGTTTAATTTTACCTTGACCTCAAGATAGAGTTTTTTCTCCCAAGCATATAATCTCTCCACAGTGGAACAGTGGGAAGCTGCTTTGGCACCATTTGCCCCATTGATGGATTTGTTCATTGGGTCATCACAAAATCTTCCAATTCCATTCCATCTTGAACTTCCACCAAATGACCATGAAAAAGGACTCATCAACTTATCTACAAAACCCCCAAAGAACTAATATTTATATATTTTTGGGTAAGCATGTTGTACCTGGTGCAGTTATATGTGTACATACCTGAAGATCTTTGTTCGGAAAAAGCACAATTGGGAACTTCCAAAAGCAATGAGAGTTGTCCACCAGCATCAGCAGCATTAAGAAAGTACTCATCGAGCTCTTTGATGATTTCCACCAAGTCTTTGCTTTTAGTAGAGACCACCACCGCAAGTTCACTTGTTGAAGTGGTTTCTTTAGAAAACTGGCTAACCGCCGACGGCGGAGCCGCCACGCTCGCCGCTCCAACCGTGGTGGTGATGGCGGCCTCCGATGTTATCGTTGTCTCGTCCCATTCTTCCTCCGTGACTGACCTCGAAGATGACGGAGGCGGCACAAATGGGTCCCAGAAATCCCAATTTGATGTCGCCGGAGGAGGAGGTGGAGGCGGCGGCGGCGGAGGGGGTGGTGGAAGGGCGGAAGATGTAGTGGTAGAGGTTGTCCAGGATGTAGGACTCATCGGTGGTGGCGGCGGAGGAGGCGGGTGAGGGGTGGTGAGTCGCCGTGGTGGCGACGGTGGAAGTGGTGGAAGGTGGTGGTTTTGGGGGTGGAGATCAGTTTCTCCGGTAGCAAACTGAAGCAAAGCAGAACCAGTATTCCTCAATGAACGTAAGTACATAGAATGAGAAGCAGAAAAAGCTTGTCTTGATTTTACTAACTGTTTCATGTATCTCTTTCGAGCTTTGCATCTTGAAACCAATTCTTCTCTCTCTAATCTTGAATACCAACAACCCATTTTTGATCTAATTTTTCTCCTCTCCTCTCTTCTCTTCTTCTTCTTCTTCAAAAAAACACAACTCAAAAAGAGCAAAGCTTAGCTAAAACCAAGCCTCACTTTAACCTTTTCTCCTTTCTTGAACTATCAACCATGTTCCATGTGTGTTGTACTCCAAAGACTGACACACCAATTTCAGACCAAAAAGAATAAATAAAAAAAAAGTACTCTTCTTTTTTCTTTTTGCTTATTACTCAGACAGATCAAAAATTGAATCTTTACACCAGCTATCCCCAATTTGAGAACACCAACAAAATCACCATTTCAATGGGGAATGTGTGAGAGAGAATGGGGGGAGGAGCATAAATTTGGAATTGTACAGAGGCAAAGGTGTTGGACAGAGTGCCAATTTTATTTTTTTATTTATAATCCTAACAGGTGAACCAAAATGCCCTATTTGAAGATGTTGTGTTATTTACCAAATAAGACATTCTGTGGTCAAATGCATGAAATCTTGCAAAGCATGACCTGTGTTGAGGAAGAGATGGGTAGTTTGGTAATATAAATATTTCAACGGACACGAGTCAATTTATAAGGTAATAAATTGAGTTTAAATTCCAGAGAGGGAGAGGGGTCGAGTCATGACTCATGAATGGGATGATAATGCATCGGTTACGAGGTCAATCTGGCTAAGGATTAACTACCCATATTATTCTTATGGTCTCCTTCTCTTTATTTTTACTTTCACATATTTATTAAATAAAGAAAAATATTTAATTAATATGACTATTTTATTATATTTATTAATTAACGTTTAATATTAAGTCTTGAAAAATAATAATTAATATTAAGGATAAAATATGAAAAAAATAATTATTTAAAAAAAATATATTTAAAATAATAAATAAAAATCCATTTTTAAATTAGTGGACAAGTATTTAGTTATTTATTCCCTTCGTCTGAAATGGGAAAAGAAAATAATTAAGATTTACATCACTAATATTTTTTCCAGTTTTCTACATTTTTTCTTCTTTACATTTACTTCACTATTTTTTTCTCTCGTTTTCGACATTTTCGAAAGAGCATGACCTCTTAGAAGAGAGACTAGAAATTATACTATTTAATCATAATTTAATAGATTTCTGATATATACCAAAATTTGAATTAAAACTACTATATTCAAATGAACCCGTAACATCTATCCCTCTTATAACACTAGAATTTTTTTTTAAAAATCATTATTTTGAAGTGCCATGAGTATCATATTGGTAAAAAAAAAAACAATAAGAAATATCCAATTGTAAAAATTACTCGATCTGTTTTATATTAGTTATCCACCTTATTAAATTAAGAAAGTATTAATTATTTATTTATATCTTCATTGTAATTAATTCTTTTTGAAAGTGTTTTTATTTATAAAATTTATAAGAATTTTTTTAAGAGATGAATTAGAAAAATTATTTTCTTACTTTTGATTTAATTAACACTGCAAAATGAAAGTGATCAATGGAGGAAGGAAGTATATTTCAAGTGTATACCAGTGTACTATATTTCTAATCATTTTATTCTTTCTATTGAAAACATGCAACTCTTGAACATCTCAACAAAATACTTCACCTTAATTGTCGCAAGAATTAATTAGAAAAGGACAAAATAAATTAAATGAGATAACTTACTCACATATGCTGTTCACGAAAAATTCGACTCTTGCTCGAATTTCACTTAATAATTATAAATAAATTAATACTTTTATTAATATAATTTATATAAATATGAATTGTGAATAAAACATTTTCGTTTTGTATTAGTATTCCCTTTTGCCGTTCCGCGGGATAACAGGTGGTTTGCATGAGACAATGCGGTGAGAGGATTTAATTAGACGGAAGATTATGCTTAAATTGTTTTGCTTTTCATAGGGAACTGTGATAGTGGAATATACAAGAGGTCAATTACAAATTGCACAGGTCCACTTTCTGACATTTTTGCCCTCACGTTTCATTTACAAATTGCTCCTCTCTCTAGTTATTTATCATTGGCTTTTTCACACATAAATTAAGAAATGGTAAATGAGAGGGGTAATTTGATACTCTCATATCCAATAATACTTGTATATTACTCTCTTTGTCCCTATTCACTTGTCCATTTTTTTTTATAGTTATCCCTAATTATTTATCCATTTTGACAAATCAAGAAAGGACAAAAAAAATTCTTATTATACCCTCAATTAATTACTTTGAAAAAGGTATAACTTTTTGAAAATATTAAAATTTAATTCATTCACTTCATAACTAATAGGGATAAAATGGTAAACTTACTATGTCAATAATTGTTTTCTTAATAGGTGTGTCAATTCAAAAGTGAACAAGTAATTAGGGACATAGGAAATATTAACTATGCACATTTAAAAAAAAATTATATATAGAAAGATAATTTTACGATATTACCTTTGAATATAACAAATATGATGTCTTGAAAAATGTAATAGGAAAATGACTATAATTAATGATAAAGATAAATTAGGAATTAAGGCTAAATTATCCATTGATTTAATGAAGTGAAAAAGTATTGTTGGACATCCCAAAATAGTATAGCGGACATCCCAAAATAGTATAGTGAACAACTATTGTAGGATAGATTATATTTAGTAACAAGAGTAGAATAAACACAAAATATTAAATTGTTCATTGATTTTATAAAATGAACAAATATTGCTGGACAATCCAAAATAGAAAATAAAGATAAACAGAGAGTATTTTTTTTAATATCCCAAAAAAATTGTAGTCACTAGTTTTCAGGTGTAGAATGAATGAATTCGCAACTATACCATCGATTGTAAACTGAATAAGAAATGTGAATCGTGTTAAGCAAATTTTAATGTAATAAACTAAATTGCAAAGGCGTAGCAAAAGAATTCATTTCTAACTTTTTTTTAATGAAAATACTTAGGGGCCGTTTGGTTACTGAATAAAGGCAAAGTTCATACATGAATAACTTGATTATTCACGTATCAATTTTATACCATGTTTGACTTGTAAATAGAAATAAAATTATTCATGTATAAGTTTTATACAATGTTTGGTTGGTGTCTCCAAATGTTGTATAAAAGTTATTCATGTATTGGTTTTATATGGTGTTTGATTGCATTTTTGTAATTCTACATAGTTAATATTCACATAACTGATGAAGAAATTTATGTATAATTTTATGCGGGATAGAAGGTGAAATAAGTTATGAGGATATTAGTTATACATGGATTAAAATAATAAAATTACATATTTACCCTTAATTTGTTTACTTAATTATTTGTTTGTAAATAATAATGTATGAAAGTACATAGAAATAGCGAATTATAAGATAATTAACGATGACTCTGATACCGAGATATTGAACAAAAGAATGACGAGATGTGTACCTTGTAACTTGCAGCGGAAGTCGTTGATTTTGCTACTTTAACAGGATTGCACTTCAAGTCTCTAGAGCTAATTGAGGTGAAGGTGACAAAAAAGTCCTAAAATTAAAATTGGTGACAAAAAAAAAATTGACCAAGGCAAACCTCTTCTTAATTAGTGATTAAGATAATTAGAGATTAAAGTGTAATATTTAAAACTTCTAAACTTTTAAAAATATTCAAATAAACCCATTCCAATTGTCTTTCTTTTTCTTTCTTGCAACAGCAGCTTGAAGCCCATTTCCAATTGTATTTCTTTTTCTTCCTTACAACAGCTTGTAGCAGAGAGAGACGACATTGTTGCGAAAATATTGTTGGTGACTTCCAATACCTTCGTCTTGGTCTTCTTCGTCATAGCCGTCTTCTACCTCAAGGTAACACTCTTTTCTTTTCTTTCATTGTTAGGGTTTTGAGATGGTAAAGATTGAAATTTCATTGGGTTTTATTAGGCCTTCTTTGTTTTTAGCATATGGAAGTTTGTGGGTTTAACGATTTTGCTTGGTAGGGTTTTCTTGGGGGAAACAATGTGGGTCTTTTACACAAGATTTGTGTGCTTTCATTGATCCTTCTATTGTTTTTTTTTTTTTGTTATCTATGTGGGGTTGTTCTTATCTTCTTCTATGTGGTGATTGATGGCTCTTTAATGTTTGCATTTTAATGTTTTGCCCTGTTTTAGGTTCTTGTTTCCTGTAGGAAAAAAAGAATTTGGTTGCTTTTGAGGTAAATGTTTGAGACATTAGAGGTGTCTTTCTTGGACCTTTAATTGTTGCTCATCTTATGGAGAATGTTGTTCTTAGAGATCATTTATTTTTATTAGTCTTAAGATAGTTTGATCATTGGAAGTTAAGCACTGCTATTAGTTGTTATCTTCCAATATTATGATGTTCGTTAACTCTTGGCGGGGGGGGGGGGGGGTTGTTTCACAGAATGTATTATAGTTACTAGTAACATATTCATTTTTTTAAGCCTATGGTTTTGTTCATGATTTAAGAGGAGAAGTGTAGTATGGTTTTGTCACTTCATGATGTTGTTGTTACCTTATTTTATAGTATGCTTTGTATACAACAACAATAATTATTATACTTCAATCCCAAACAAGATGGCATATAGATGATTTGCATATATACTTCAAATAACATACATGCATCCAACCAAATTTTGATGATATTTTTATAATTGTTTTCCCTATTTCTTTATGTGGTTTTGAAACTAACTTTCAAAATTATCTAAATGATAATGAATTGTCTTTTTTTAATATTACATTTTGATTTTATTGTTTTTATATATAGATTGTGCATCCATGACTCCAAGGAAAAAACGAACAACTCCTACTAAAACGTATGAAAGGCGAATCAGAACACAAAGACAAAGAGAAGAAGAACTAGAAAACACAAATTTGAAAAAATCTATAGAAGAAGAAGGAGAACATGAAATAGATGTTTCTTCTACAAATATAGAAAGAGATGATAGAGCAGTTGAGGAGGAACAAAATGATATAGCCATTCCAGAAAAAGGAGACATCTCCTATTGTTGAATTATCTCCGCTCAGTCCTTCACCCGATAACTTCATTGTGAAGTCGATTAGGTATGCAAATTACAATTTGGAGTCAATGATTGATAGGTATCCAAACTTAAGAGGTTCTTTAACTGTTAAGTCGGAGTTACGTAAGTTTTCTAAATTTAGAACGATTTTAGAAGAACAAAAATTGGTAAAGTTCTTTCGATCTTCTATTTTCGGAAATTACTTACAACTTGAAGGTACTCGTATAGATTTCAAATGAGTTTAGTCTATCAACTTCTTCGACGTCAAATTTATTGCCATCGAAAAGAAGAAATTTGGATAAATTATAGTGGCATGCCCATTTGTTTTGGAATGAAGGAGTTTGCTATCATCACCGGCTTAAATTGCCATAATGAAGATGTGTATGATGTTGAAAATATGTCAACTAAGACAAAAATGAGA